CTCTCTCTCATCTATCGCTCACCTCTCTCTCTCTCTCTTACTTTTCTTTTTCTTACACCTCTCGCTCTCTCGCGCGCGCGCCCTCTCTCCCATTTCTCTCGCTCTCTCACTCTCGTCCCTTTCTTCCCCTCTCTTTCATTCTCTTTCTCCAATGAGTAAAAACGCAAATCCGGTTGATTTTTTTCAGATTTTCAACACGAATAACAACAGGGTACTCATCGGCGAGAGAAAAAGAAACTTAGAGAGGATAAGAGAAAGAGAGAATGAGAGGAAGAGCGAGAGGGAAAGCGAGCGAGCGAGAAGGGGGAGCGAAAGAGCAAGTGTGCGCGAAACTTAATATAAATAATATAGAAAATTAACCTTACCCTCGACCGCCGATTTCGGGCAACATGGATTTCATCAATCCGCAAAACTCTATTTTGCTCGGAATCATGCAATAATTGTTTTGTTAAATATAAAGTCAGGAGTAAATAACTATATGACAGGGGAGAGCGACACGACGAAAGAGAACAGGGCGAATTCCATTTACTACTCTTACTTGTTGTAATTTATTTCGACTGATTTCATATTCATAACTAATTAAAACATGAACCGAAAGTTTATCTTAAAGCATTTATTCAGCCACGTCCCTAATCGTTTTCCTATAAATAATCATAATCCAGAGAGAAGGACTGAAACCTGCGGCATTCGGACGAACTATGGCTTCACCATATGCAAGCTACACATCGACAGCGACATTTGACGATCTTGACGTCATATGGCAAACACATTATTGTGAGCTTCGGCTAAATGTTCAAGATTCAAGAGGAGTTTTTGTGTGCTAGCTTTACATTTTTACCCGATCTGACGTACTACCCGTTCACTAATTCAAGGCTTCTTTTGCCTGCCGCACATCGTTGAGGCCATCAGTGGCGAAACTGTGTCCATACTAGATGACAGCACATTGATTTTCAGTATGCAATATACATATATATAGAGAGAGGGGGAGAAAGAAGGGGGAGTGAGAGAGAGAAGGGGGAGTGAGAGAGCGAAGGGGGAGAGAAAGAGAGAGAGAAGGGGGAGAGAGATAGTGAGAGGATAGGAAGAAGCGAGAGGGGTCACATAACGATAATCATGCAAACAGCGTCCTCTGACAATGATTTATGATGAGCTATAATAATAATGTGATCGCTGGCACGTACCCTGCCCTAGGTATAAATATTGTACGTCACCTCACACCGTACATTATATACACCTGTCTTCATCCGCGAAGTTTTCTAATGGTCCTGGCCCTTATTATCATCATTACTCGTATTTCTTTAAGGAGCACGTGCTAATGAGGTCATCATTGCATGTCGGGCTGTGGGCGTTACCAGTATATGCTGAGAGTAAATTCCTATACAGTCATATGCTAGTTGGCATGTACACACGTGTACGTAGGCTACAGTCGCAACGAATTATACTAGCGAATTTACAAACGTTTTTCCCGGAAAACGGCTATTTTCGTATAAAGTTCGGAATTTTAAAGAAATCCCATTGATTTAAAAAGCGATCGAAAACAAAATTTACAGTAAAGGACCCCTACTACTCTATTTGCGAACTTGGTGGTGTTAACTTTGCACAAAAACAAATATATGACATTTTAATAATCGAAATAAATTCAAATGAAATGCTGTTACAGTAATTATAAGCTAATCCCAGTGAGCAAAGATTAAAAATAGTAAAATAGCAAGGAATAAAAAATGTATACTGCGCTGGTATACGGTCACGATCCGCGCATTCTGTCTGCGACTCATGACTGTCATGACTCACGGCAGACAACCGAGATATAAAATACCAAGCCCAAACACAAGGCCATCGGCGCTACATTTCTCTTCTAGCTACTTGCAACAGATGACTGTATTACGGAGTGCTATAACATCACTGGAGGCGTTACTTCACGAGACGAGAAAGAGAGAGAACTACTGCTATATATACTGCTGTGTATAAAAACATGTATACTGTCTTGTTGCACGGACGGCAATCGATTATACGCGAATCGCTTAACGCGCATGAAGGGAAGAAGAGGGTAACAGCGGCCGAGCCTAACCAGGCAAACGCAGTAATCAGCAGATTTCATCTAGTTGAATACCGGTGACTAATTGCGATGACGAGGCAGCGTCGTTAGCTGACGTCTGCATCTGGAAATGGCGAACGATAGGCGCGCGGGTGCGATTTAATCACGGTACATACCGTTAGTTTGTTTTCCCATTTGACGTTGCAAATAGGAAATGGGTTTCTGACCTATTTCCTATTTTTAAGATGAAAATAGAAAATAGGAAATGGGTTTCTGATCCGTTTCCTATTTTAAAAGTCTAAATAGGAAATGGGAAATGGGTTTCTGAACCGTTTCCTATTTTAAAAGTCTAAATAGAAAATGGGAAATGGGTTTCTGAGCCGTTTTCTATTTTAAAATTCTAAATAGGAAATCGGAAAAGGAAAAGGAAAAGGAAGGGGGTACGTGCGTGTAGCCGCGTGCACGTGCGTGTACCCGCGTGTACGTGCGTGCACCCGCGTGTATCTGCGTGTACGTGCGTGTACCTGCGTATACGTGCGTGTACCCGCGTGTACGTGCGTGTACCCGCGTGTAAGTGCGTGTATCTCCGTGTACTCACGTGTACGTGCGTGTACCCGCGTGCACGCAGGTACACGCACGTGCAGGCGGGTACACGCGTGCACACGCGTGCACACGTAGGTACACGCACGTGCACACGGGTACACGCACGTACACGCAGATACACGCACGTACACGCACGTACACGCGGGTGCACGCGGGTACACGCACGTACACGCGGGTACACGCACGTACCCCCTTTCTTTTCCTTTTCCCATTTCCTATTTAGACTTTTAAAATAGGAAACGGATCAGAAACCCATTTCCCATTTCCTATTTAGACTTTTAAAATAGGAAACGGATCAGAAACCCATTTCCTATTTTCTATTTTCGTTTTAAAAATAGGAAATAGGTCAGAAACCCATTTCCTATTTGCAACGTCAAATGGGAAAACAAACTAACGGTATGTACCGTGATTCGATATAAGGATATACATAATTATAGCCTAACACTGACCTGCATTAATAGGACGAAATATTCAGAGCATATGATGCAGTCGAATTACATCAGAGTCCATAATAAAACAATTATATTATGGAGTCTTGATTACGTGTATATTTACACGTTTTTACTTTGTAGATTTCTTTATTAGACTCTGACGATGATTTGAGTATGAATTTTCGGTAATGTAAGACCTGCACTCAGAACATATATATATATATCTGCCTGGTCGTGTATAGGTGACATATCTCTGTATTGTCATGTATAGGTGACAAATCTCTGTATTGCCGTTCATAGGTGACATATGTCTGTATAGACGTGTGTTATGTGACATATCTATGTATGGTCATGTGCAAGTGACAAATCTCTGCATTGTCGGGTGTAGGTGACATATCTCTGTATGATCGTATGTAGGTAACATATATCTGTATGATCGTGTATAGGTGACATATCTCTGTAGGGTCATGTATAAGTGACATATCTCTGTATTGTCGTGTATAGGTGACATATCTCTGTATTGTCGTGTGTAGGTAACATATTCTCTGTATGGTCATGTATAGGTGACATATTTCTGTGTGATCGTGTGTAGGTCACATATCTCTGTAGGGTAATGTATAGGTGACATATCTCTGTATGATCGTGTGTATAGGTCACATATCTCTGTAGGGTTATGTATAGGTGACATATTTCTGTATTGTCGTGTATAGGTAACATATCTCTGTATTGTCGTGTATAAGTGACATATTTCTGTATTGTCGTGTATAGGTGACATATTTCTGTATTGTCATGTATAGGTGACATATCTCTGTATGATCGTGTGTATAGGTCACATATCTCTGTAGAGTTATGTATAGGTGACATATTTCTGTATTGTCGTGTGTAGGTGACATAATCTCTGTATGATCGTGTGTAGGTGACAAATCTCTGTATTATCGTGTGTAGGTGATGTATCTCTGTTTTGTTGTTCGTGGGTTACATGCATCTAAATCATCGATGTAAATAGTATAAGCGAACGCATTCACTATTAGAGACTCGTGCGTATCTATAAAAAAAAAACCATGAAAAAAAGAATGCACATGTGCGAATTATTCCGCGACACGGATTTTTTCGCGAGATCTCGCTCGCGCCGGTGTTTGCGCCAGCGTAACGCATCCCACGCCGGCATAATAGCCGAACTAGAATTAATACGTGCGCATTAATGTCATATAGTGAAGCAGCTAAAAGAGAAACGCACACGCGACGAGTTGGAGGTAACGCACACGGCGGCTATGAAGGCGCAAATACACGGCATGTCGTAATCGCTCTATACTCTCCCCCTTTCACCGTCTCTCTCCATCGCTCGCGCGCGCGCGTTCTCTCTATCCGCCTCCCTCTCTTTCGATCCTCCTTTTTCTTTCTCTTCCTTTTTTATCTCTCGCTTTTTCTTTCTTGTTCTCCCCTCTCTCTCCTCCTCCCTCTCCCTTCTCTCTCGCCCGCGCTTCGTTTCTCTCCCACCTTCACTTTCAATCTCCCTCCCTCTCTTCTTCACCCCCTCTCTCTTTCTCTTTCTCTCTCGCTCTCTTTCCCTTTCTCTCTCCCTTTCACTTTCAATCCCTCTCCCTCTCTCCTTCGCCCCTTCTCTCTTTCTCTTTCTCTTTCTCTCTCTCTGTCTCTCTGTCTCTCTCTCTCTCTCTCTCTCTCTCTCTCTATCTCTCTCTGTCTCTCTCTAGACCACGCGAGAGCTCTCCGCGCCAGCGCATGCGCAGTGACGACGCGTCGCGTACCGTAAGACGCCTATATGTGTGGGAGACGATGACGCCGACGAGCGACGATGACGATGGATTGGCGCCCTCGTCTCGCGTTATAAGCCCGCTGCCTGCGCGTGCATCGATCATCATCCAGCCCGCCAGCGATTCGTCCCAGTGGGTGTCACAGTGCGCTTGTTTTAAAAGCACCCGCCTCGATAGCGCACCTCCGATACATCTATGCGGGCAGGATCCCAAAGCGACGGCTGCTTGTGTAACGGACTTCCGACAGCCGACTAGACTATACCCGCTCGCTCTGAAGACTAGTCTCGAATAAGTTTCCGGGGATTCGTTGTCGGTCTGAGAGCTCGATATACTTGCCGTTGAATCTACGAAAATGGGTAAGTAGTCTTTCGGTGAAAGCTTGTTGTGTGTCTTATTATGTGTGCTATGGCGTTCTGCGTTTGACTGTGCTCGGTATCTTCTCTTCAGCTATCAGGACAGTTCGGGGTTTTGATGGTCGCACATCATTTACACATCTATGCGGGCGATCAGCGCACCTCTATTCTCCTGTCCGGCTCTTTCCAGCACTCATCTCATCATTTTCTTCATCATCATCATCCTCTATAGGTGTTATCAAGGGTGTATAATATAGATAGTGGTAGCACACTCGTAGTGACAGGCGTTTGCCCTATTGATGTCTTCATTATTGTTTGTATTTACGGTGCGTTTACCTGTTTTTTTCCACGACTATAATTTATTGCGCTATATCCTGTCGTGAACGCGCGTTAATCCGCTAAAAGCTGGAGATGCATTATACCGATACGGTCATCCGTCCGGTTTCAATCGGGCGCGTTTCGCATGTTTAAAATATTAGACCATCGAGTATTTTTTTCATCGCAAAGGCGTTTGCGTCACAGATCGAGAGGTAATCGGGGTGAGTGGCGACTTTATCCGACTCGGTTATTGTCGCGTGCGATATTCATCCCGATTTCTCTCGTAACAATCGGACCAAGTGAACGCCGCTCGTGCGCTCGCACACGATTGCCGATTCCCGCGAGCAATTTCCGCGTGAATATACGGCGATGCGAGGGAAAGTTTCGTTTTTTCATCTGAATTACGAAATATTGGCGAATTTTACGAATTGACGCAGGTGTTTCTCGTTACTAACTACAGGCGTGTAAGTCGTCAAACGTGCCGTACGCACACGAAGGGCGAGGTAGAGTGCCGCCTAACCAAATATTGCTCGTATTGTTTTTGGAAATCGTGGGATGTGTGACTAGTGTATTGACTAGTAGTAGTTTTGTTACCTATAGTTATGGAAGAATCACCTAGGTAAGGAAGGGTGACTGATGGATAGTGTTGCCGTATTACAAAGTTTAATTAGGACACAATGTAGTTATAATAGACTTATTACCTTACTTAGTTAGGGTAAAGTGACCTGGTTAGGGCACGGTTCCTCTGTTCGGTTAGGACTACATATATGGTTATGCTAGAGTTTCATACTTAGGATAGCGTTACCTAGTTAGGGCACTGTTCCTTTGGTCAGTTAGGATTACTTAGCTAAGACGTCGTTACCTAGTTGGCTACCACAGTTGATTATCCGCAATAATGACATTGGTCCAGCACCTAACATGAACGTACACAATAAAAACTTCACATGGACACTCGGCTACATATCCGATGAACACTTTCCTGGATTCTATTCTACAGAACTGACATTGGCTATAGAGCGTGATAGGTCACGCCTCTTTACTACACTAGTAAAAAATATCGTCACAAACTTCATAGGACAAGTAAATGACAAACGTGGAAACCAAGACTACCTTAAACTAGATGTGAAACTAAAGACTGCTAAAGCTAAATGCGAGAACAAGCATTACCTAAAACGACAAATGTATGCCAGCTATAAAGATAAATAAAATATAGAGATAGAATAGGAGACGGTAGTTAAAGATGACTCTCAAAGTTGGGAACAACGACAGGGACGCTTTTAATTCTATCTTGGCTCGGGGCTGATTGAGACATTTGGATATATTTCACTATATCGAAGGTTGATCGCGTACACTGCGATCTATATGAATTATGCAGTCCGTTATAATTCACCGCGAGTAAAGCGATTCACACTAAACATCAAAAAACGCATCATGTGCCACCGCTTTGCGTGCGCATTATATACGGTTAACTTCATATAATATTTGCATACGCCAACAGTTGCCGCGCACCCACTGAAGTTGAGACTCAACGTAGCATGTCGGCGATTGTATATGCGAACAGAGGACACCCATCTGGCCACGCGTGAATGGAATACAAGGGTTTCCGGTGTGTGTGTGTGTGTGTGTGTGTGTGTGTGTGTGTGTGTGTGCTGAACGTTACACCGATATTTTTTACGGTTAATCGGTTACGTGCGCGTTCTAACTGTTGCTGTCATTGCAACGTTATGTGGGACATAATCTCATCTACAATTACAAAGGCAAATCTATATATATTGTTGCAGTAGTCGTGGATGGCATGTCATAGTCATTACAGCTCTCTGACAGAACATGAGCTATCATGAGTTTTCATTAAATTCATTACTTGCACCGCTGCGATATTAAATATTTTGTACAATGTACTAGCATATTGTCTATTAAGATTATATATATGTATTATATATATATATATATATATATATCATATATATATATATATATTAAGAGAGAGAGTATAGAGTAGATAGATAGATAGATAGATAGATAGATAGAGTAGAAGATAGATAGATAGATAGATAGATAGATAGATAGATAGATAGATAAGATAGATAGATATAGATAGATAGAAGGATAGATAGATAGGATAGATAGATAGACAGATAGATAGATAAGATAGATAGATATGATAGATAGATAGAGTTAGATAGATAGATAGATAGATAAGATAGATAGATAGATAGAGTAGATTGAAGATGTCTAGATGATAGATAGTTAATACGATTAGAT